CAGATGTTGTGGTGGTAGTGGGAGTAGTTGTACAATCTTTGCTCATATGCCCGATCTCCTCCCACCAATCTCGTGCCCCGTCTTTCAGAAGACAGGATTCTAGTCTAACCTTGTCCCCCTCGGGACATCTGCTGGTGCAAAAAGCGTTGGCGACATCTTTCAACCACTTAGTACTCGCTATGGGGTCCCACGCCCCATGGTAGTCTGGAGCTCCAGAAGCCCGGAAATCCTTGAAGGTGAGTGTGCGCGACCCCATCAAGGCTGCCACCTCAGCATGGAATGTGCTCAACCTCTCCTCCGTCAACTCTAAAATACCCTCATTGATCGATCTGAAGATCACAGGAGTCTGCTCAAGTATGGTGCGAGTAACCTCTGAGGTGAGGAACTCTCTGTTCTGCTCATCTAGATGCTCGGCCCCTGAGCCTGATCCTGATCCCTCGCCAACTCCTGAACCGACGACTGCTGGCCTAGGGCGTAAAACCACAATTCTAAAACCACATCATAACAAACGTCAGAAACACTGATATATATCTCGAGGGATCACTACTACTACAAGTTTCTTGGTCTCATCTCATCCTTCCTCGATTCAAGTATGTATCCTATGCTTTCAGTAGTACGGGCCTATACTACCTTCCACATCTATCATTACTTTCCTCAAGAACTGCCTTGACTTCCACCAAGTCACTTCTACTGCTACTAATCTCTGCTACTCTCATCCTAGGCTTGCCCTAGGGAAATTTCTGACTCCACCCAAACCAGTCCTCATCTGCTGAAGGCCTCATTGTAATGTCAATTAGCCATTACCTCAATACCATCACATGTGACGAGGCTCAAATAATCCTTCGAGTACAAGACTCGTCCCTATAACGGTTAGACTCAGACGAGAGCTACACAATAGGGCCAAACCCAACACTCTGAGATTATTCAACCCTTATAAAATGTGACTTGACGTATTCACCTAATGGCTAACTCCCATTACTTAGAGTCCCACAAGGCACAAAGCAAGCAGCATTCGGACACAGGAAACTACTCAAGCAAGTCTATCCTCATAACGAGAAACTGTACTGGCATACAATGTTGAGCTCATACTATCAGGCATAACCTAAACAGGCTATCCTACTATGGTCTACTCAATACTAGCATGCAATTCTCATAAAGCTGGAACACATATAGCAGGCACATAAGGCATCCTTCTAGATCCTTAGCCCTATTCTAGCATGTTGTTCTACTGAAACTGATAATCATAACATAAACTTGTATGGGTAGTTTGGGAGTACTTACTTGAGCTCGATTGATCGCATGCACCACACCTTTTTCTTTGCTTTTTCCAAAAGCTATTTTCTTTTTAAGTTTCTTTTTCAAAAGTTTCTTTCAGAAATGTTTTACTTTTGAAAACCTTATACCAATTCCTTAGTTTGAGTTCAGACACACCCAAGAGTGTTCCCGAATCCCTCAAACCAAGGCTCTGATACCAACTTGAAACATCCCAAAAATACAACCCGAAATTTTTTTGTTTTAACATTATTAAAACCCACAACATCGAATGTTATATAATAAGACCATGCATCGTATGTCTCAAAATGCCATAATAATGTATCAAATCAAAAACTGAATTTAATATCATATCGAAACATCTGAATAAACCCCAAGGATAAAACTGTAACTATGGTGTGTGCCATGCCATCAACCCGAGCTCTTCCCCTTGCTGGCAGAAGTACTTGAAACCAAAACTGAAAACTGTAAGCACAAAGCTTAGTGAGCTCCCCCAATCTACCACATACCATACAATAACATATAAAGCACATACTGGGCCTTGCCCACTGCATCAGACCAAAATTCAGAAACTGCATCCGACCGAAGTCCGAAAACTGCATCAGACCAAAGTCCGGAAACTGCATCATACCGAAGTCCGGAAACTAACCAGGGCCTTTCCCTCTGCATCGGACCGAAGTCCTGAAACTGTATCGGATCGAAGTCTGGAAACTAACCAGGGCCTTGCCCTCTGCATTGGACCGAAGTCCGGAAACTGCATCGGACCGAGTCCGGGAACTGCATCAGACCGAAGTCCGGAAACTACCTAGGGCCTTGCCTCTGCATCGGACCGAAGTTCGGAAACTGACTGAACATAGTATAGCCTAATCATAACTACTAACATAAACACATATATTGCATATTGCATCGGATCGATGTCCGGAACACATAACACAAGGATATGCTTGAATCACAAAGACATCAAGCACATTGAACTATTGCATCGGATCGAAGTCTGGAACTATTGCTAACTAAACGGGCCGGCATTGTAGCCGTAGACCCGTTCCTACTGGAAGGAAAACTCACATCGTGATATTGGCTGCTGAGATGCTAAATCTGAAACTGCCTGACTGCTGCTTCGAAACTCCCCGGCTACAAATCCCATAAACACTAAATCAAATATTGATAACTATTCACAGGGTAAAATGACTATTTTACCGCTAGTCAAAGTCAGCATCCAGGTCAATGTCAACTTTCAGTTGACCGGACTTGCTGAGTTAGGCCGCCAACTCGCCGATTCCCTATCATCCATTGTAATCCTCTACCCGCTTCTACTCGTCGAGTTTGGCAAAGACTCGACAAGTTCTTCTTCGATACTAACATCGAGTCTAACTTCATCCGACTCGCCGAGTTGTAAGAACAACTCGTTGAGTTCTCCTTCATCATTTGAACACGCTCAGTCTGTGACTCGCCGAGTTGTATGAACAACTCGTCGAATCTGTTCTTGAGCATGAACCGACTCACCGAGTCCTAAGGATGACTCGTCGAGTCTCATGCTTACTAATACTATACAATCGATTCGAGTCGATTTCAGTGCTTCCAACTTTCACTTTCCAACTATACGTGCATGCATAAAAGAATGGGGCTTAAACACCAAAATCCTCCAACAATTAGCACTTAGAGTTTGGAACAAGACTATGTTTGCATAAAGGTGGCTATATTGAACTCCTGGAGCTCAATAATGTCCAGATCTATGGTTTCCATCCAAAGGAGAGTTCAAGTTCGAGTTTGACTCAAACCAACATTCTAGGAGAAGCATAAACAAGCATAAAAGAGGGTTTAATGGAATAATAAGCAAGGTGTTAACTTTATTACCAAAATATGCAGCAAATGGAGACTAAAATCTGAACCTCCTTTCTATTCTCTTGATCTTGTTTCCTTCCTTTTCTTCCAAAGCTTCCAAGCTAGCACAAACACACTCAAGCTCAACAATGGGGCTAGGGTTTACAGGGAAAATGCTCTAAAGGTGCGGGAGGCTGGAATGAGAGGCTATAATGACGTTTAAATAGGATACAAACGCTGGGATTTAGGGTTTCATCCGGACCAGCCGACTCGACGAGTTCGGAATATGGATGCGTCGAGTTGCCCGCTAAAAAAGCAAGCAAATCGCGTCTCTACTCGACGAGTCAGGCCACTAACTCGTCGAGTACCTCTTTAGGAAGGAAAAAACTATATTTAAATTACATACCAGAAATTGGGGCATTACAAGAGTGATCAGTTTCAACTCGGATTATATGTAATAGCTGTCAAAATCGAGAAATATGAATGTAGAATAAGCTCTAATGTCAAGGAATATAGATTTTATATAAAAAAATGAGAAATCCATATCCAATTATCATATCATCAGCATTGACTCAAATATAATTGTAAGTTTTACCCAACAGTAGGTTAACTTTAATTTGAATCATAATCGTCTTTATGTAGAGATCTTTGCTCAAACGTAACATTTTTGTATAATCAAAATGCAAAGTGACACTTCTATGTAGGATTTGACATATGTTTCCCGATAGAAGTCTAGTGGTTGATGTGTAGAATTTCATAACGAATGTTCAATGTGTAAATATTGCACGCCCAAAATATCGGCAGTGCTCCACGATTTATCTTCCGTGTACTGAGCCACGGGGTCCAAATATCTCCAAGGGGCGTGGCTTCCCGTTTAAAAGAAACATGTGGAAGCTCTAAATATTTTTTATAAGCTTATTTGGATGTTTGGTACGATGATATCAAAGACTTAACTCAAAGGTCCACCCAACCAAAATACTTATAATCTGACTTTGGGTTCTACAAATCAGAAACAAACTTTAGATTTTTAAGACAGGACATGAAGATTTATGATTACAAGACACTAACCAGAGAATTAGTGCAAACATCGAACCTTCTCCCAAAGTTGTATTTAGTTTAGCTAGTGCATGTTTTAACTTTCTTCATGCAATAACACAAACCTTGGAGATTGATGGATGATCTACAACTACTCCAAGAGGAAGACGAAGTCATGACGCCAACTTTTTGCTTTATTTGACACCTAAAACATCTTATTATCGAGTAAGGAAAGCCACATTACTATGTATTGCCAAATGGACATGAGTAAGCCTAATCAGGTTCAGGTTCAAGACTATACCCACTCGTAGTGACCATTTCGGGAGAAAATAAAAAATTGGTTGAGCTTTAAAACTTAAACCGAGTTAAACGACCAAATGAATATGAACTTAAAAGTTAAATGACTAAATTTGACCTTAACCTTTTATTACATTATAAGTTTTATTATCGGTCCTTAATTAATGATTTTAAAATACATTTGCCAAAATAAAAGTTAGATCTATCTTTTACATATAGTTGCTTAATACATAAATCAAATTAACGTGGTTATAAAACATTTACACTAACCAAATTTCCTTTTAGCGTTAATTATATGAACCATCCAAAACACATGATCCATATAGCAGCGCCTTGGTCGCGGCAAAATGAAATTAAAGACAATGAAAAGCTTCATTACATCCAAACTCCGGCCCCCCACGGAGTCCGAGTTAACTCAGGAAGCTATAACTCGTGGCTTCCCTGATTTCATCTCTGTTCTCTAACACGATTTGATTCAAAAGCTTCGATCTTTTTCACTCTCCGGCCGGAGAGGGAGAACCCCTTTTGGTCGGTGTGTGTGTGTGTTTCTGGGGACAAATATTAATGCGACCCAGGAACAACCCATTCCTGCAATTAAAGGGGTCTTTTTCTTTCTTGCTTCATCATCTTCTTCAATCGATTCTTCCGAATCGATATAAGAGATCGAAAATGGGGGTGGGTAACACCTTATCATCAAACTGCTCAATCATAGGAACAAATGATGGATTTATAGATAGAGAGGTGTTCTTAAATGTATATGATCTTACCCCTCTTAATTCTTACAGCATCTGGTTAGGATTTGGTGTTTTCCATACTGGTATCGAAGGTAACAATCTCATCTAATTCCATTTCAATTTCGTCAATTTGGACAGGTTATCGTTTTGGGCTTTAATTCTTGAATGTTTCTCTTCAATTGTTGCAGTTTATGGTATGGAATATGGATTTGGAGCACACGATTATTCAATTAGCGGGGTGTTCGAAGTTGAACCGAAGAGCTGCCCGGGTTTTAGCTACAGATGTTCAATTTCATTAGGGCATTTAAGCATGTCGGCTTCAGAGTTTAGGGAATTCATCGAGGCCATGGCTTCCGACTACCATGGCGATACTTATCACCTCATTTCCAAGAATTGCAACCATTTTTCAGACGATATCTCTCAACGGATAACCGGTAAACGGATCCCCGGGTGGGTCAATCGGCTCGCTAAAATAGGTACGTTTCCTTCTCTTCGCTCAAAAGATAATTTTTTTTATATCGATTTGATTTGGGATTTGCTTTTTATGCATCAAAGTTGCTAACTTTATCCCTGAAAAAAATTGGTGATAAAAAAATCGGATGAAATTTGGATTTAATGATTGTGAAATATGCTCCAATATATTAAAATTTTACGGGTTTTGGATGACTGTTTTCAGGTGCCCTTTTCAGTTGTCTCCTTCCTGAAAGCCTTGAAGTAACTACTATTAAACAGATGCCAGATTATCATACATACGGTATACTTTCACTATTAAATTGTTTTTTTTTTTTTTTTGCATTAAGTCAAAATCGTAATACCCATATATCATATATATTAGCTTATTAGATTAAGTAATTTAACTCAATAATTTTAGCTTAATGACTTGCCTAAATGGATGCATATAATATATGCATGATAGCGCTCTTTGTTTAGGGCATTTAATATCTAATGTTCGACATATTTGTTTGGTCTTATAAGGTGAGAGGAGAAATTTAGATGTAATTATGCGTCACATTTACGAAAATTGAGATGGGACACATTTTACCCTTGTTAATGATAGTGATTCTAAAAGGTGAATATAAAATGATTGTTCGTCTAAAAACTGTTGTAAACTTTCAGAAGATTATGGAAGTGATTCCGCATCGACTTCAAGTAGTCATGAAGCTTCAGAAAACGATGAGGTGGACCACAGAGTTTTACTTTCACCCGCAACTGAAATAGTTTTAATTAGAGAGGTACCAAGGTAAGATATATCATATTCCAATTTTGGCCTTGTGTCTTGGTTGTATGGTCAAAATCGTCATTTCCATGATGTAAGATCGTAGAATCTTGAAATATTTGAGATGATCTTATTACATGATGACTCATGGAAAATCCTCACAAACATGACATGTGTTTTGTTTCTTCCTCGGGTTTTGAGTGGTGGCGACTTTTTGCATTTGCTTTATAATTTTTTGTAATTATTGGTTTCATGTATGCACGAGCGTGTTTGTATGATACAATCGTTGTAATAAATTATTATTTTCGATGAAGGGTTTTGTTTTGTTTCTAATCGTTGTAATTAATATATATGAGATAGATTCTATATACGATGTGAATAAATAATAAGAACAATGATGATCAAAGTGTGCTGAATGCTTAAATCGAAAAGCTTTAGAAGAGTTCAACGTGAACTTCTCTGTAAAAGCTATGTAGAACAATACAATCGTTAACCCTAGAAAGATCTAGAAAGATACATGCATGCACATTAAATAGTCTAATCCTAGCAAACCATAATCATGGATGGACGGACCCAACCCATTATAAATGAGACTATTCTTGTTAAAAAATTTGACACAACACTTTTAAGCCAAACAATTGCTTTTTTGTAAAACTCAAGCATATGTCGTGATTTGAATTTTTAACTGTTGTCGGTTCGTATTCGTTTTACTTTTTTGTTAAACCGCATCTTTACCATGTTATGGAACAGTGTTAAGAAATAAGACGCTTGAGATTTATTTTTCATCAAGTTAACCTAGGGATGAGCACGCGATAGACGTGGCACCGATCCGAGAATCCGGAATACCTAAATTGGTGAAATATGATACCTAGTACCAAACCAAACTAACATTACCAGGAATGGTACAATTTTCGGTACTAGCATCAGTATGTTAGTATCGAATCCCGGATGACTCCTAGTAAATAAGTCATCTCGCTCCTTACCCGTCACGTTAGTCTTCGAATGTAAGTCTTGTATAATACATGTGTCAAGGAAGAAAGTCATGAACATTGTAAATCACTAATGAGTTGACTTACGGACAATAGATTGCAATTGAACGCTAAGACATGTTTTGAATTAAATCTATCAAAAAGGTGAATGCCACATATCCTCTTAACTGGAATAGTGTCACCGTTAGATATGATTACATAGGAACTTTATTTTTGCTTTGGTTATTTTCAACCAATATTTATAAGGTGTAATGTACTCACTAGCTCCCTAGTCAATTACCCATGAATTTTGAGGATTAAGTTTATCAATCATATATGCTTTTGAAGTAGTGTTTGCCTTATCAATCATGTTGGCTTAGGGTTCGTCATCATGAATTTTTATGCACGGATCATTTTGATGAGATTATTGTATTCTTCCTTGGTAACTTTTGGTATGTCATAGTTTTAAAAAACCGTAGCAGCTCTTGCTTGTGGTTTTCGTTTTCCAATATAAATTTTGAAGTTTGATGTCTTTACATTCTACCATTCCCAGTTTGCTCGAAACAAGTCAACAACCATCAATGGTGTGGCTTGACTTTTGAGAATGACTACACCATATATCTTCATTCTTTCTGTTTTCCCACGTTCATCTTGCTTGCTAGTTGTAAGAGAAGTTTTTTTATGGTTGTTTTGCAACATTCCTTGTCGTTTCGAGCGCAGCAACATCCCATGTCCGATCAACCATTGTTGCTTGTCTTGGCTAACAAGATGGTAAGTGTCCAAAGTGAAGGAAGCAGATTGTTGATATGGGTTTTGACAACATTACATATTCTTCATTGAGTCCAATTAAGAAAGCATAAAGACACTCTTTGTCATACATTTATTGTGATTTCTTTAGATGATTTACATCAACATCCTTTACACGTATATGTGGGCAGTTGACTTATTGATTGAATCTCGACCCAAACAACTCTTATTTTGGTGTGATAGACTGAGACAATTGTTCCTTCTTGATGTATAGTTGTGATTCTTCAATTGAGTTCATAGGCTTTAGGTGCGTTTTCTTTCCCAAACATTTCTTCGAGATCCAAGCACATGTTTTGGGTCTGGATCGCATATTTGACACTGCCCTTGATTTCTTTTTCCATTGAGCTTACAAGGCATCCTCGTACCATGACATTAAATTGTTTCCAATTTATTAAATCAACTAAATCGTCAAGTGCTATTGGTATCAAACCATATATCATATATGAACCCTTTGTCATTTGTTATAAGTTCCATCACGAAGCAAATTTTCCCTAATGAAATTTTGTCCCATGTGATGTGCACATGTAAGAAGGTAAGGAGACGAAATATTCATTAGGGGTGAGAAAAAACCGAACTGAAAATCACAAAACCGACAAACCATAAAAATGACAAAAATCGTGGTCCGGTTCAGTTTGGTTTTGTATTATAAATCCACCCAGAAAAACAGACCGACCCATGGGGTTAAAAACCAAGCAAAAACAAACCCACAAAACGGAATAATTGTATATGTTATTTAACGTTTATTTTATTTTAAATATTATATTTACGATTCATATTTTATGTTTAAGAAAAATAAAAATACTCTTAGGTGACTATTAATTAATAGTTAATTTTAGTATTACATTAGATTCAATATCATTTATACTTTATAGCAACAAACTTTCAATGTGTTTGAACCTGAAAACTTGAAAAACTATGAGCACATACATGGGTTCAAACTAAAAACCCAAAAATCCAAACCGAAAAACTGATCCGTATAGAAATTGCCCCGAAAAAACCGACTTCTATGATTTGGTTTCAAATTTAGCTAAAAACTAATCCATGCCCAATCCTAATATTCAAGATCAAATTTTCTTTCACCATTTGGTTGCGTGACGCTTCTTCAATCATTTTTTGAAAACAAAACTAGGGTTGAGCCCTCAGATCGTTGATACCATATAACATTTCAAGAAGTAAATTATTTTGTTGCTTAATCTTAAGGTCAATGCAATAGGTTATAAAATGTTGTCAAGATTCGGATCTTACCCACAATCACTTTATGTTTTGCATGATCGTGATCGTAAGGTCGGATTAAGATTGAAAGATTGTAATATTCATCTTTTGGGCATTTTCCATTTTAGCCTAAATAGTTAAATTTGTTGCAATTTTAGGCATTACGTTGGGCGTACCTGGAGTACATCGGGCGTAGTTGATGAAACTTGGATTGCGGGTTTACCTCTGGTATGCTGGGCGTACTCGTGACGAACTTAAACCCTAATTTTCGGGACTTGGACCCTATTTAAAGGCCTTAACTCCAAGAAAACCCTTCTTACCTTTAGCCTCCACTCTCTCTCTCAACCTCCACGAAACCCTAGCTTCTTTTATGTGAATCTCAAGCCTTTGTGTGATTTTTGGTGTGCTTTAGCGAACAAGGAGATCTTGAAAGAAGCATTGTTTGGTTTGAAGCTTGTGGATCCAAGCTGTAATCATCTTCATCAGCCTCGAAGAGGTATAAAGTCTTAAACTGGTTGATTCCTTTCTTAGATATCGATTAGTTAGAGTTTTTGACCATATTTTGGTTCCATGTGTTGATTCTTATGAGTAAAAGCTACTCCAGAAGATTTGGGCTGAATTTATTGGTGTTTTGTGGGGTCCCTTGTTCATCAAAATCATGTCTTGATGGTTTTGGTCCAACCATGCATGACTTAATGGCTATCTTAGGAAGTATAGAAGCCAGAAATGGAGTTTATGCCTTTTTAAGTCATCCAATAGCATAAAGTTGGCAACTTTATGGGTTAAACCCTTATTTAGAAGTAGATTTGAGCTTTAAACGTTAGGGTATTAAGGTGTTAAGCCCTTTTGATTGAGAATCGGAAGTTAGTCAGTACACCGGGCGTACGACAAAGTACGTTGAGCATACTGGGATTTAGTCCTGCTTTTCAGTGACCGTTGTGTACGCGTTGCGTTAGGCTGGGTATGCATGGTTTATTGCCAGCATACCTTTTTGGGCCAATTGGGCTTAGGGCTTGTTTTGGGCTTTAAGGTTTTAACTTGTTGGACGAAAAGTCTTTCTGAGTTGGACCATTGTTAGGCCTTGTGCCTTTATTGATTTGGGTCCATATTAGGACTTGAGTGTCTTTTAGATTTAGACCATTATTGGGCTTAGAGTGCCATTGAGTTTGGGCCACGGTTAATTAGGCTAATTGAGGGAATGGTAAAATGGTCTTTTATCCTAAGAGTCGGGATTAGTAAATTAAAGTCCTAATTGTGGTTTATGACCCGATTATTGATTAAAGTTTTATGTGATCGGTTGGTGTGGGGATTCTCCAGTCCATTAGCCTGAGTATCCATTTAATTGTCAATGGAATAAGGTGAGTTTGATCACTATACTGTAGGACACTATGGTGTAACACCCTGTTTCGAATCGTTCCTAATTAGGGGCTGTGACCCGAAGATCAGTTATCATAAGGATTTGGGCCTTGGGGAACAAGAGACTAAGACCCCTTTAGGTGTGGATAATCTAGATTGAGTGATATGGGAGTTCGGTTTGTGTTTTTGAGCCTAAGGGTATAACCGTAAACTGACAGTTTGGGCCTTTATACATTATGGTTTTGATTTCGGGAAGTTTTAAGGCAAGAGTGAGTTAATAGAAGTGTAAAGCTTCTCATTACCTATTCGGGGATATAAGGATCATGAAAATCAGACTTAGAACGAAAACATTATGGCCTACGGAAGTTTGGTGGTTTTAGGGCTAAGCCTAGTACGCTAGGTGTACATAGGAGTACGTTGGGCATACTAGGCAGGTGCATCATGGGTGCCCTCTTGAGTACGCTGGGCGTACCAGGAGTACGCAGTGCGTACTCTAGTTAGGTTGGAACACTAATTTAGGGTCTTAGACCCTATTTAATGGCCTTAACTAAACTCCAAACCCTCTTACCTTCATCCTCCATCCTATTAAACCCTAGATATGAAACCCTAGCCTCCATTAGAGTGATTCTTGAGATCTTGGTGTGATTTCATGTGTTTTGGTGCTATTTGAAGAAGAAGGAGCTTCTTGAAGGAGAGTTAGATTGCTTGGAGCTTGTAGATCCAGACTTGGTTTCCTTTTCTACATCTTTTGGAGGTATATAGTCTCAATCTTGATGGATTATTTGCATAGATTTAGTTTTGGGTGGTATTTATCATGTTCTGGTCCCAAGATTGTGGTTCTTGTAAGTAGAAGTTACTCCAAAACCTTTGAGCCTCATATTTGGTCTTTATTAAGTTTATTAAGTCATAAAAATGTCATCTTGTGGGATTTTGATGAAACATGCTAAAGTTGGTGCTCATAGTATGGATATTGATGGATAAAAACAAGTATTAGG